ATCAAATGCTGCCTCCCTGAGTCTTTGCCCAACTGAGAACTGTCAGGATCCTCAATAGCTCCCCCATTTCCCCCAAATCCTAGGCCTCTGGGCATGTTCCAGAATTTGTCACACTCTTGAAATAGTTCTAACAATGACATTCTAAATTGTTCAAAGACAAATTCATTTGTGAGGGCATTTAAATTGGATCATATATTTCATTGGTAAATGTGGGTTTTTTCTCCATTTACTCACAAGGAAATGTCTTTGACTGTGTAGACCCTGGCTTCAGAAAGAACCAGAGGCCTCCAGTCTTGGAAGAATATCGTTTCCATAATGTAATATCACCACCTAGTGGTTCCAAACAACTTCACCAAGTAATCCAGGAAAATTTCTAGCTACACTCCTGGGAATAACTTCATCTCCCCAGAATTTTTTGTTTCTCTATCAAGATAATCTGTGGTCAGGGCACATGGGTGGCTCAGTAGGTTAAGCATCTGACTTCAGCTCAGGTCATGATCTCATGGTTCATGAGTTCGAGCCCCATGGGCTCTCTCCCGTCAGCACAGAGCCTGCTTTGAATCCTGTCTCCCTCTCCCTGTCCCTCCCCTGCTCGTGCTCATGCGCTCCCTCACTCTCTTTCTCTGTCAAAAATAATTTTTTTTTTTGAGAGAGAGAGAGAGAGAGCGCGCGCGTGTGCATAAGCAGGGAAGGGGTAGAGAGAGAAGGGGACAGAGGATCTAAAGTGGGCTCTGTGTGCACAGCAGAGAGCCCGATGTGGGGCTCAAACTCACAAACCATGAGATCATGACCTGAGCCGAAGCAGACACTTAACTGGACTGAGCCACCCAGGTGCCCCAAAAATAAACAAAAAAAATTTTTTAACGTTTATTCATTTTTTGATAGAGACAGAGCATGAGTAGGAGAGGGGCAGAGAGAGAGGGAGACCCAGAATCTGAAGCAGGCTCCAGGCTCTGAACTGACAGCACAGAGCCTGACGCGGGGCTCGAACTCACGGACCGTGAGACCATGACCTGAGCCGAAGTTGGATGCTTTAACCAACTGAGCCACCCAGGCGCCCCTAAACAAACATATTTTTAAAAAGAAAAAAAAAAGATACTCTGTGGTCGATTGTCTAACATACAGTAGGTATTCAATAATTGTTAAATAAATGTATAATAAACAGAAGGGCAAAATAATTTCCTACCCTGGTACCTTATGGCAACTGAAAAGAGACAATTTAAGTCTTTTCCAGATTCCTCTGGATTCCAAAGGGCCTCTAATCATGCTTATCTAACAGCCAGAGGTATTTCTGTCTTTAATTTAGCAAACAATTCCTTTAGGCACATTTGAATAAACAGATTTTTTTAAAGGGTCACTGCTACCATGGATGAAACCTTGACCCGCTCCCATCAAAGGGAGCTTACTGTAATCCAAAAACAACGAAGAACAGAGTCTGTTACCCCAGATACCAGGACCAACACCAAAACAAAAGACCAGCTGGTGCTATAAGGAGGGGAGTGTGGACACAGACCATCTGAAGACTGTTTCACTGACTCTTCTATGCACAGGTCAAACCGGGCCAGGTGTCATTGGAAAGTGTGCTCAGAAAACATGGTGACCAAAACCAAGTGGCCTACTGCTAGCAGGGATCATAAAAAAGAAGAAAAGAGGCCAGAGACTACCTCCTTAGGAATTTAAGGCTACTAGGACAATATCCCAACTAGCTAAGTCTTAAGACCTCTTGTCTGTTTAAGTGCATAAAGCAATTCTAGCTTGAGCCTCCTGGCTGTTAGGTCGTAATTCTCCTGATTCTTATGGCCCAGATGGTGGGGAAATGGCAGTTGGCAACAGTTACCTGGATCCTCTTCCCTCAGAACATTGAGAGGTTGATGCAAAGCGTTGATGAGAGCTTCTTCCCCTCAGTCAATTCTTTTATACATCGTCTCATTCTTCCTTTCTGATTAAAGACGGCTTCTGATCAAAGCCCCAGGCTCTGCTGTGTGTTAAAGAGAGGGAATCAGAGACGCATCAGAGTCCAGCGGATGAGAGGAGCGAGGACCCAGGTTCTAAGCCCAGCCCCCATCACCTGGTGGCCTTTGATTTCTGGCAAATTACTTACCCTCTCCTGCAAGGCCCCCAGGTACTGTGACAAGGGCTGTGGACCAACTCTCGGGGTGCCGATCATACTGTAATCATTGTAGATTTGTACACTCGTTGAGATAACTTTTCGACAGATGTAGTAAAGTGTCATAAAGGGCGCATTTTTTTTTTCCTAATTCACTAAGGCCCCAAATGGGTTATCATCAGCCCTGGATTCTGAGCCTGTTTTCCAGTCTGTAAAATGGACACAATCCACATCTATCTATAGAGTTGGCCGGAGAACCAACCAAAACGGTGGGTATACACTACCTTGAAAAGCCCTAAATTCTGTTTGTGATTTGAGGGATAGGTAGAACAAAGGAGAAACCGTTTTCAGCCTGCAAATGGTTTTCTTCCCTTTGAAAATAGAAGCAAAAGCCAGTGTTCAAAAAGCAGCAAACATTTTCTCACTCAAAATGTCATGATTCGAGAGGGAACTCTGTACCCATCAACAAATCTGAAAAGAATGTGCCAACTGCAGTGAGTTGCTTTACTAAGTAGTTGAACTGGTAATAAAGTAATTAGAATTTCTCTTCTGAGTCTTCAGATAAAATGAGCAAATGAGAGCAAAGCCCTGCCCCATCCTCAGCCACACTACTGGCCACTGGGAGTCAGGTTTGCTCGTGTGGACAGGTCTGAGGGGAGACTAAGGAATTGAAAAAATGTGTATATTTTTAAGTTAGCCCACAGAAGTCATTCTGCAATGTAACGTATGTTTGGGAAATAATTATCTTCAGAAAACAGCCCACATAACGCCTCTTGGATTCCTCTCACTATGAAGATTCAGCTAAGTATAGATCAGTCTAGTAACACAAATGGTGTCATATAATTTTGATTTGGCTTAGAAGAGAGGAATGAGTAGGCAGCAGTTTTAGCTGTCTAATTTGGTCTGTTTTGAGACAAATGTTAAAAAAGAGTTGAACATTTAATCTGCCTTTCTTTGTACAAACTGTACTTAGGGGAACCAAATAATTGATGAGGGATAAGTTTCTCTTACAGAAAGATGTCAGACCCAGTCCTGAATTCCCCCTTCTGGCATAACAGCGTGAGATGCTCCGCAGACAGCTGTCCAGTGAAACTGGTGAAAATAATTTTTTTAAAAAAATGATTATGTCGGGGCACCTGGGTGGCTCAGTTGGTTGAGCGTCCGACTTCAGCTCAGGTCATGATCTCACGGTCCGTGAGTTCGAGCCCCGTGTCGGGCTCTGTGCTGACCGCTCAGAGCCTGGAGCCTGTTTCGGATTCTGTGTCTCCCTCTCTCTCTGACCCTTCCCCATTCATGCTCTGTCTCTCTCTGTCTCAAAAATAAATAAACGTTAAAAAAAAAATGTAAAAAAAAAATGATTATGTCTCTGAAAATGGCCTTAGCAGCATACAACACATGAAGAAACATTTGTTCAAGAAAATCCACAAAATCTCAGTAAGAACAGAGTCTATGCTGTGTGACTCTAGAGCCATGCCCCACCCCAACTTCAGTGAGACAGAAACCACTCCAGACTGCTGCAGCCCATGGACACAGGCCTCCCTCCCCCGGCCCCAAGACAGAGGGCTCTCTCCCTAGGAGGAACAAGATGTCATTGTTTCTCATCCTGCCCCCAGCTACTGGTGCCAGTTAAGTGCTAGCAAGTACCAACAATAGTGGGGGCTCTCTTCTTCCACCTAGCTCCCCCTTATGGGAAGGAGACTTGACCCTGGGTGCAGAGCTGGTGAGAATAATGGATTCCAGCTACCCTTGCCCCAGCTCATGGCCCAGGGTAAAGGCCTTCACTGCCCATATCTAACACACTGGGTACATAAGAGTTCCAATATATCATTCTCTTGGCTTCTAGGTAATCTTGAAATTTTCCTATATTAAAAACTTGAGGGGCACCTGGGTGGCTCAGTCGGTTAAGCGTCCAGCTTCGGCTCAGGTAATGATCTCGCAGTCCGTGAGTTTGAGTCCCCTGTCGGGCTCTGTGCTGACAGCTCAGAGTCTGGAGCCTGTTTCAGATTCTGTGCCTCCTTCTCTCTGACCCTCCCCCATTCATGCTCTCTCTCTCTCTCTCTGTCTCAAAAATAAATAAATGTTAAAAAAAAACTAAAAAAAAAAAAACTTGAAGGACAAAAACATGAAAAAAAAATCCTTCCAAAGACCAAATTCAAGGTCCCCTGAGACTCTGAAATTCTCAGTCTTTACAAGTATCACTGAAACATTCCTACAGACTCAATAATTTAGAAACTAGACCTTTATAGACTCTTTCAGGTTAATATGAAAATGATTATTGGGTGCCATCTCTAAAAGAAACCATTTCCAGAGAATGAGAGGAAAAGCTGGGAACACAGTAGGGTGTCTCACGGGCCAAATTCATCTTCCCTTTCTTTCTTTTTTTAAAGTAATCTCTATGCCCAACGTGAGGCTCGAACTCACGGTCTCAAGATCAAGAGTCACACACTCTGCCGACTGAGCTAGCCAGGAGTCCCAAAATTCATCTTCCTTTAACTGGAAACCTTTCAGAGCTTCAGAGGGGAGATAAAAGTGACCCAGAAAACAGATGAGCAGAAACATGTCTCCCCTCCTCCCAGAAACAGAATGAGTCTTTTGCTTAAGCAGCAGTTGTGTTTAATCACTAAAATTATTCTGTTCCTAATGAAAGAGAAACAATCTAAGTTTAAAAAGGATGAGGCTTTTTCTCCTCAATTATTTTAGAGGCAAGGAGAAATGAACGAGAAAAGCAGAATCTCTATGGTCAGGCCCTGGTAAAGCCTCCAGGGAGCAGAAGTCCCCTCTGCTTTCTGCCCTTATGTCCAAGGTCACCGTCCTCAGGATTCCAAGCATTCTGCTCTGGAGTAAGACTGCCCTGCAGAGTCTTGAAATACTCTCCACTCTCTGACCTGGAGAGCTAGTTCTCCTCATCCTCATCGTCAGTGGCCTGAAGAATCCTCAGTAGTTTGAGCTCAGGGTTCCACCTTGTTCTAGATGTACCATCTGAAAGGTCCTCTGGGCTCCTCTCTTGGGATTCCAGCACAGCGTCCTCCTGAGTGCTGATGTCCTTGTTAGAGGGTTTGGTCTTAGATAATTCAGGATCTGAAAGAAGACCCAGCCAGTAGCTGCACCCGCAGCCCTCTCCCAACTGTGCCAAATGCACGACAGAAAAGGAAGGGCTGCGTGTCATTAGGACCCTTCTGAGGGATGAGGACTATGGCTTCCAGGGAGGTGAACCATCCTTGTCAACAGGAGTTCAGCTCTCCCGGGCCTAAATGACTTACTAAGCTTCCTCCACCCTAGGAACTTACCATCCTTACTGGGGAAGGAATCCAGATAATTCTTCATCTGTGGTCTCTCTGTGGAATCCTGAAATTCATTAAAGTAAGTGTAAGGAAACTTGAATCAAGACTTTAGGAAAGTAAGGGTTTTTCTAAAAGATGCTTTTCTTGGAAAAATTAGCATCTAAGACAGGACAAAATGCCACCTCCTGAGACTAAAGAAAGAACCGTGTATCACACACTCTTTGCCCTCTAGACTGACCAGATGAAGCCAGAACCCACTTTTCTCCATTCCCACCCGTCAGCTTAGGGTGCACTGCCTCCAAAGGTGGCTCCCAACAATTCCTCCAATTCCTCCATGCACATGCTGCCCCTCCCACCAAGAGACAGAGTACGTTTTCTCTCCCCTTGAATCTGGGCTGGGCTTGTGATTTCGTGACTAATAAAATATGGAAGAAGTGACATTGCTCCAGTTTCAGCCCCATCTCTTAAGAACGTGCTTTCATGAGGGGCGCCTGGGCGGCTCAGTCGGTTAAGCATCTGAGCTCAGGTCACGATCTCACGGTTTGTAGGTTTGAGACTCACATCGGGCTCTGTGCTATTAGCTTGGAGCCTGGAGTTTGCTTTGGATTCCGTGTCTCCTGCTTTCTCTGCCCCTTTCCCCGCTCACACTCTGTCTCTTCCTCTCTCTCAAAAATAAACATTAAGAAAAAATTTTTTAAAAGAAGCCCAAACAAGCCACGGAGAGGCCTCATAGAAGAGAACCAAGGCAATTTGGCCAACAGCCCCACCCCAGCCACTGGCTGAAAGCAACTGTGTTGAATGACATCAAGCCAACACCAGAAAAATCATCCAGTCAACCCTCAAAATCACGAGAAATGATCAACCACTGCAGTTCCGGCTTTGAGGTGGTCTGTTCTACAATAATAGATAACAGAAACAGGGCCCTGGCAGAATGGCTCCCATACTCTTACCTGCTTCAAGGTGAGTCCTTCTAACTTCATCCACTGTGGCTGCTTTTGGTCACTTTTCCAACCCAACAGAGTTCTGTGACCTAGTGATCACAAAGCCAATTCAGTTCTCTGCTTATTGGTATTTCATATCCCATTGTTGGGCTTCTAGGTGACCCCTAGTCTATAAGTCCCTACCCCGTCTAGGGTAAGACAGGTTAGAGGAGGTGGAAGGGAGTTCAGCCTCCGAGTTCTACCTGTGAATCTGTTCACCTGGGACTGTGACCACATCTACTACAGAATTAGAGATCGGGGCGCCTGGGTGGCTCAATCGGTTAAGCGTCTGACTCCAGCTCAGGTCATGATGTCACGGTTCGGTCTGTGAGTTTGAGGCCCACGCCAGGCTCTGTGTTGATGGCACAGAGCCTGGAGCCTGCTTCAGATTCTGTGTCTCCCTATCTCTCTTTGCCCATCCCCCAATCACACTCTGTCTGTATCTCAAAAACAAATGAATGTTAAAAGAAAAAAATTTTTAAAAAGAATTAGAGATTAAGTTCAAGTGTATGCTCAATGACTTAGAGTTCCTCCAACAAACCTAAGGGGCAGGTATCTGCACATCTTAGCAGCGAAAGAAGCCCTAACCCTAGGTTTTCAGTTTACGAATACTCCTCTTACCTTGTGGTACCAACCCTAATGTCTCCATATTCACTTCCAAAAATGGAACCCCTCCCTTCCAAAAGCTCTAGTTCTAGGATTCTTCTGCGTCAGTCGTTTCCCCATCTAGTCCCTGAATGCATCCGCCCTTTCCTTTCTCAATTCCCTTCCTCTAAATGAACATCTCCCAAGCTGCCACCAGAGATGTTATGCTAAAAGGCAAAGCCAAACAAGAGACTCCCTTCCTTAACACTTCTGTTGGCTCCCTACCAGCACTGGTTCTCACCCTAGCTGCACACTGGGAGTACTGGGGGTTCCATTTACTGAGGCCCAGGTTCCAACACCAGAACTTCTGATTTAATAGGTCTGTGGTGCATCCTGGGTATTTGAGATTTAAAAGCCCCTCAATTGATTTCAGCGAGCAGTCAAGGGGGAGCACCACGACCTGGAGCAAAGGTCAAACACCTCAGCAGGCTACACAAGCTCCCACCTACCTCTTCAGCCCAACATTTCATCACTCTCTCTCAAATAACCGACAGCTACAATGGACTGCTGTGTTCCCTGAGTAGCCACACTCCTCCAAGATGCCTCTGCTAAAGCTATTCTCACTTCTGGGAATTCTCTTTCATGTCAGTAAAACGCTCCCACATTCAAGATCCAATGCAAAAATCAACTCTTCCATAAACCTTTCTCAACCCGGTGAGGACAGGCCACGGCTCTAAAAACAGGAGCACCTGGGTGGCTCAGGTCTTGATTTCAGGGTTGTGAGTTCAAGCCCCACACTGGGCTCCATGCTGGGTGTGAAGCCTACTTAAAAAAAAAAAAAAAAAAAAAAAAAAAAAAAAAAAAAAGGGCACCCAATCACCTATTGGAGGCATCAGGAAGAGGAACGAAAAGCACTTAAATGAATTCAGGGCAGTGCTGATCACCCCAGATGAGGAGCTAACCTTGGACCAGTCAGCCCCACCCTGGGCAACAGCCCTAGCTCTGTCTACATCCCACGTGAAGGTCAGGAAGCTTCCTAGATCTTCAGGTCACAGGCCACTGTTGGCATCTGAGAGCTCAATGGGATGGGAAATAAACCGAGAGAGAGAAGCATTCTTCTCAGGAAACAGCTCTCCGGACCCTCCCACTGCCCCAGGGCTGGAGAGCAAATTCTGATGCTGAAACGATCAGCAATGTCCAGTCTTAATAGGGCACCAAGAATCTTCTAAGGTTTCAGGGCATTCTTTCTCCCTTCTGTTCTTTCTTTCTTTTTTCTGCACTCAAACTGAGCAATGTCAGAGAGACCGGGTAAGTATATCCTTCGGCTCAGACACGTGATAAGGACTCCAAAAGGGGGAGAAATATCTCTTCTCGCATCTAGCATGAACACCAGAGGGAAAGAATCTCCTATCAAGATCGGCTACTTGCCTCCTACAGGGGACTAGATAGTATGATCTCAACCCGAGCCTCCAGGAACTAACGTGTAGCTGGGAAGTGGCCCTGGATTCCGCTTCTTTAGAACTCTCTGGGGGCTAATCAGGGGCCCTGGCTCTTTCCTGCCTCCTTGCTTGCTCTTCATCCTCAAATCACTCTGCCTTTTCTAAAGAAATGAGGAAAGATGCCTCTGACTCATGCTCATGGTCATCTCTCAAATGCCCACATGAAAAAGACACCTGGCCCAGCTTGCTTCCTTAGTAAACGTTTGATGGAAGGATGACGTATGGTAGCCCAGCCAAAACGTTCCAAGAAGAATTCCAAATGCCCGACAAAGGCAGGTCCCAAGATGATGGACAAGTTCAGTTCTTCCTGCCCTCGGCTACGTCCTGAGATTCTGTCCCTCCCAAACCCACATTCTCCTTACCATGGCGTGGGCCATAAACCATGGCACCTGAACGTTTATGCAAAATGTTCAGGCTCCCTGGATCGCTCTTGGGTTTCTTTTTAGCCTCCTGAAACCCAAATGAGGAGGAACTGAATTAGGACCTTCGGAAGTGAAGAAAACATTTCAGAAAGAGTCTAAAAGAAGGAAGTCAATATCTGCAACCAGACAGAGAACAGGGAGGTGGACACCTCATACATCCCTTCCTGTTCCAGGCTGTGCCCCTGCCCCAGACCCAGCCAGTCCTAGAGCGCCCCTCACTGCCCCTCTACCTGTCTCTTAGGTGGTGTTTTCACCAGCCTCTGCTGCTGCTGCTGCTTCTGCTGCTGCTGCTGCTGCTGCTGCTGCTGCTGCTTGTGACCTGGTGACCAGAGCACCGGCTCAGTCCTCTTCTCCCTGACAGCTCCCACCCACCCCTGGGCTGCTTGCTCTGCCCTGCTCCACAATGGCGACAACCCCTTTGTCAGAACCAAGCCATTGGTGGTGGGGGGGGGAGGGGGGTGGCGGGGAAGAGGGCTGCTTTCTGAAACTGCAGTTTCCTGAGTTCTACATGTGATCCTGTATGACTCTGGCCACAAACATAACAAAATTGGGACCAAGATCAAGTATGAGCACTGTGGGCTGAGGGGGAACAGTACCTGAAGATCTGACAGCACCAGAAAATCTACCTTCTGTGTTCAGGTTAGAACACAATTTCTTCAAATGTTCAGGATATCTCAATGCTGGTCTCTGAGAGAAAAAGAAGGAAAAGACGAAAAAGAAGAAAAGGAAGAGAGGAGGAGAAGGAGGAGGAGGAAGTAGAGGAGGAGGAGGAGGAGAAGGAGAAGGAGGAGAAAGAGAAGGAAGAGGAGGAGAAGAAGAAGGAGTCATAGGAAAGGAGAAGGGGGAGGAGGAGAGGGAGAGAGGGGAGAAGGAGAAGGAGGAAAAGGAGAAGGAGGAGAGGGAGGAGGAGA